CGAGAACGTTTCCGAAGACACTGCGGCTCCGTGGGTGGCGAGAGCAGCTGAACTGGAAAAGGGGCGCCGAACCGGCCTGCGGTGGACGCCCACCCCACATTGCGAGGTCACCGCTAGGGCACGGACGCTCTGTTGTCCGGGTCTATTCCGAGCCCCGAGCCGGGGACGTGGAGGGTGGGAGGTGAACCCAGATCCATGGTGTTAGCGGAGAAGCACCGGAACTGGGGGTGTCCCCATCGGGCGAGGGAGGGAGGGAGGTGGGGAACTGCCTCAGGGAGCGCCTCGGACCGGGACATTTGCGTCTGTGGGACTGGGGGTGGGGGGTGGGGGGTCGGGTGGCCTCTGAGAAGGGCCACCCTGGGCACAGGGTTTTGTGTAAAGGTCAGCCTCTGGCCGAGAAGATCTTGACTCTGTCCCTGTTCTCCGTGTGCTGCGTGGCCTTTTCCCCGTCCATCCAATCGGTGGCATCGCCCCTGTCCAAGCTTAGGCCGCCCTGGCCCTCCCGGCCAGCCCAGCGTCTGCAGAGAACTGCTGAGATGCCTGCTCTGCGCTGCCCCGACCCAGCCTCACTCCCGGTCCAATGGGGCACCAGACAGTGACTGCCCTGGACGGGTCAGGGCTGGGATGGGGCCCTTAGGACCCAAGTGGGGGGAGGGGAGTGCTCCTGACCCAGCCTGAAGGGTCAAAGGTCTTCCTACCTTTGGAAGGACTGTGTGGGGGCGGGGCCTGGGAAGAGGGTCCACTTGTAAGAAGAGGCTACTTGGCCCCGGGCCTGAAGGAGTGGGACCCACAGCTGATGGACTATAATGCAAACCCCTGAGGGCAGGCCCTAGACCAGTGATGGCGAACCTATGAAATGGGTGTCAGAGGTGACACGCGAACTCATTTTTTTGGTTGATTTTTCTTTGTTAAATGGCATTTAAATATATAAAATAAATATCAAAAATAAGTCTTTGTTTTACTATGGTTGCAAATATCAAAAAATTTCTATATGTGACACGGCACCAGAGTTAAGTTAGGGTTTTTCAAAATGCTGACACGCCGAGCTCAAAAGGTTCGCCATCACTGCCCCAGACTGCTTCCTCACAGCCGGTGGTTAATGACTGGCCTTCAGGTTGGAATGAGCTCCCCCACCAATCAGGGGAGAGTGACGCAACTTTCCCATCCCTCCAATGGGGAGATAACATTGGGCTTCACCAAGTCAATCACCTCGTTTTAAAGAGCTATAAAGAGTTAAGCATATAATTTATATATTTAAAAATATATAAGGTAGATTATATCAAGGGGCCCCAAAACAAGACAGACTTGGAACATGCTGCCACATCAAATGACACTTTGGTCTCGGTTACAGAGAATACAATCGATGACACAAGAATCGACCAGCTCATATTATTCCAAACCTCGTTAACTTGAAGGGATTTTAATACTGAACTTATTAGCAGCAGATTAGAATTTTAATTCCTGGGTTCAAAATCTGAAGCATCAGAAATGGGGTGATTAATTGTGGGCACCCTTTACTACTCACCTCTCCGTGCCAGGCCAGCTGCTACCTGCTGCTACGTTCTGACTCGGGTTATCATGCAGGGAGACCCTCTTGCTTTAGGGGACGCCTCAGGAGGAAGGCTGTGACCTCACCGTCCCTCCCAGACACACACCCCGCTTTCCTGAGGGGCACCATTATATTCTTCCTTTATTGGCTATCCTGGTATAATACAAATCTGCAAGTTTAGATACAAAAAAATCTGGAAATAAAAGATAGAAAAGTACCCGCCAGGCACCCCTCCCCCTTCCTCTGGGCCCCTCCCCAGGGGGCACCAACGTGAGGTAACTGAGCATCTCCTTGCCCTCCCCCCAAACTCACTTCCTGGGCCCCCAACTTGGCCCCTGCCCCCAAGAGACCTTGGTCCAAGGAAGATGTGGGCCGAGTGGGGGAGAGGGCTAACAGGGTGAGCACAGCATTGGCAGTGAACGCAGCAGGTGGGCAGAGGGAAGCCCTTTGCTTGTGCTGTGTGTGTGGTGGGGGGGCAACCATGTGGGGCCCAGGAGAGCCCCTAAATGGACATCCCTCCCCCAGCCCATCCAACAGTGGAAGGGGGAAGGTGGAAGGTCAACAACAGAAACTGGAAACTGTAGCTTGAACCGAGGGCGCTCCGTGGGACTACAGCCATCGCGGTGCCTGGGGTGGGGGAGGGAGCATTGCCAGGCTGGTCTGTCCCTGAATTCCATCCTGTGGAAACCTGGGCGTCACAATGTCGGTTCTATAGTGGTTGTGGGGGTGGTCGAGAGGAGGAGTTAGAGGGATATTGAGGGGCGAAGCCCCAGGGAGCAAGATGAGGGGAGAGGTGGGCTTCAACTCCTAGGTGTGGGGCACCTGGAGATCATGGGGTGGGCAGGGCGGCTGGGGCTACAGTTCAATCTCGAAGGTCTTTTGCAGGTCGCCCGAGAAGGGGTTAGAAGGCTTCTCTACGGCGGGTTTGCCTTCTAATGCTGCCCACTGGGCCTCAAAGGGGTCCAACTCAGGGGCTGGGGTGGGTGCTGGCTCTGGGGGCCAGGGAGCCCCATTGGGGCGTGGGGGGGCCTGGCCCCCAGGGGCACTGGGCACAGCAGGTGGGGGGAAGGCTCCAGCTTTCCCGAGCAGGGCGGTGGGCTGTGGCTGGAGCTGGGCAGCTGAGCAGAAGGCGTTGGCCACCATCTGCGAGGGCGTGATGCCCACCACGGGCACGCGGGGCATGGGCGGGTAGCCCAAGCCTGGGTAGGTGGGCACAAAAGGGGGCTGCATGTGTGGGGGTGGCAGAAACAGGGCCACCTGGGCAGGTGCGGCATCGAAGGGCCCCACGGGGGCGGGGAAGGGCTGCAGGGGAGGGGGTACGGCAGGCACCGAGGACACTTGCTGCTGCTGCTGCTGCTGCTGCTGCTGCACTTTGGCCACCTGGGACACCTCTTCCAGCCACCGCTCGGCCTCCGAAGGGGTCCGCTTGTGCCCAGGCTGGAAGGCGGCTGCCGGGGACACCGAGGGCTCGCCCCAGGCAGACGTCCCTGGGCAGAGGAGAGGGCAGGTGAGGGCGAGGGCTGCGTCAGAAGGAACCCGAGGCTGGGGTCAGACTCTGAGCTAGGCCTGAATCCGTCCTGGACCACATAACAGTTCTGCGGTGCTAAGAACATACAGTTCTGGGATTCTAAGGCCCCACGATGGGAAACATACAGGCAGGACTGACAATCAATCACTTGTTATTAACTATGTTTAATAGCACCCTTGGCTCTGATACTTTGAGGATGTTTTGTTTTAGGAGGCTAAGATTCTAAGGCTCCATAGATCTTCCTCATTCTAACGTGATGAGTAAGGTTCCATGGTTTTAAGTTTCTGTTTTCTAAGAGCTTTAAATTTACATTGTTTGCAAGTCTAAGGTGCTCTCCTGGTTCTACCATAGCCCCGAGGCGAGGCGACTCCACTGCGCTGTCTCAGAGAGCACTCTCTAAAGCTGTGAGACTCCAGGGTCATGGCCCCAAATCAGTTAGATTCCAGTATCCTGTGATGCTAAGGCTAGAGGTTTCTGACTTTCATTATTCTAAGACAGGAAGTCTTTTTAAAAATGTATGTTTTTATTGATTTTTTAGATATAGAGGAAGGGAGAGGGAGACAGAAACATCGATGAGAGAGAAACATCAATCGGCTGCCTCCTGCACGCCCCCTACTGGGGATGGAGCCTGCAACCCGGGCATGTGCCCTGACCAGAACTGAACTGGAGGCCTCTTGGTGCACGGACGATGTTCAATCCACTGGCCACGCCGGCCAGGCTAAGACAGGAAGGTTTAAAAATGATCCCATGGCCCAGCTGGTGTTGCTCAGTGGTTGAGCGTCGACCTATGAACCAGGTCACGGTTAGATTTCCAGTCAGGGCACATGCCCCAGATGTGGGCTCGATCCCAGTAGGGGGCATGCAGGAGGCAGCCAATCAGTGATTCTCTCTCATCATTGATGTTTCTACCTCTCTCTCCCTTTCCCTTCCTCTCTGAAATAAAAACATATTTAAAAACAAAAGAAAAATAACAAGGATCCCATGGGGCCCTGGTCGGGTAGCTCAGCTGGTTGGAGCATCGTCCCATACACCAAAAAGGTGTGGGTTCGATTCCTGGTCAGGGCACATACCTAGGTTGCAGGTTCAATCCCTAGTAGGAGCACGTATGGAAGGCAACCAGTTGATGTTTCTCTCTCTCTCTCCTCCTTCCTCTCTCAAATCAATAAAAACATATCCTTGGGTGAGGATTAAAAAAACAAAGTGATTCCTTGGTTCTAAGGTGCTCCCAGAGCTCTAAGATGACCCACGGTCCTAAGCCTGTGGGATTCCAAGATCCCTGGAGTCCCTGCGGTGACCCCGAGTGGAGCAGGGGGATGCAGGGGGGCCCCAGGCAGGGCTGTGCTCACCTGTGGAGGCGGGCGGCGGCCCTGGTGCTGGCGCTCCAGCACTGGCAAAAGACGAGCTGATCTGTGTGCACAGAGCACTGATGCTGTCGCTGTCGCTGGCCCCGGGCGGCTCCATCTCAGGCACTGGGCGGTCAGGGAGAGGCGGAGGTCAGTGATAGGCCCAGACCCTGTTCTTGACCCCTTTGCTCTCAGGTGCTCCTCTCACAAGGTGTGTGGTAACTAAGTAACTAAGTGGCCATGGTCACAAAAATGATAACTTTGTGCGTGTGTGTGTGTGTGTGTGTGTGTGTGTGTGTGTGTGTGTGACATCTGGGTGGTGCAAGGAGTGTGTGACACTGGGGTACTGATAGTCTGGACTGGACCCACAAGCCAGGTCAGAGCAGAACTGAGGCTGCGTCCCCTGAGAGACCTCTCCTCTGCCCCAGGTGTGCTGTTCCTGGAACAGGTCACTGCCCGGCCCAGGCAAGCATGTAAGTGGTTTCCCCTTACCTGGGGCAGGTCACACCCCGCACCCTTCCATCCTGCCCTGTCCCGTATAACCTCTGAGCGCCTGCCCTGTGGCACTTCGTGTCATCTGGCCTCTGCCCACGATGTGCCTCGTAAGTAAATTCCCTTAATCAACTCCTGGTGCAGTGATGGAGTCATCAGCCTCTTTCTCTGGTCTCTTGGCCCTGGGACATTTTCCCAGCAGTTGGATGGCAGTCACAGGGGCCCCAAATCAAGGGGGACCTCAAGGAGGACCTGTCTATAGCTACAAACCAGAAGAAATATTTAAACTGTTTAAAAACAGATAGTGCCCGACCAGCGTGGCACAGTGGCTGAGCATCAACCTATGAACCATGATGTCACGGTTCAATTTCAGGTCACACACATGCCCGTATTGCAGGCTTGAGCCCCAATAGTGGGCGTGCAGGAGGCAGCCAATCAATGATTCTGTCTCATTGATGTTTCTGTCTCTCCCTCTCCCTTCCTCTCTGAAATCAATTATGTTTTTAAAAATAAAAACATATATTAATTTAAAAAATATATTTAACCACATAGATGGCAAGAGCATTGACCAGTCAGAATGGATGTGGGCCACACTGTTTTTCACTGGCTGGGGATCACTTGTCCTGCTTTGGGTGGCAAAATGGGGCCCTGTCCACGCTGGCCTATAACACGTATCACGAGGGCAGAGACACAGCTGTGCCAGGAAGACAGTGAGCAGATGTGGGGCCTCAAGAGCACTTGAGATGAGCAAAGGGACCATCTGAATAAACAGCGGTGTGGGGCCACACGTGCCTGTGACAGCTCAGCAACAGGGGTGATGCTCCAATGAGCATGAGGAAGAAACTGACTGGAGGAGT